TTGCTGCCGGGGTTGGTGAACTCCATGGAAACGGTCGGAAGCAAGGACGCCAGCATCAAACGCGGCCGCCGCCTGCACAGAAGAAGGCCAATCAGGCGTGTACCGACCATCGAGGCTCCTGCAAGCTTCATGGGTGGCGGCCACGGATGCCAAGTAAGCAGCCCGGGCAAGCAGCCCGGGCATGGACAGTGCACTACCGCAACGCGAGGCCGCCTTGCTTAAGACCAAGAGTAGCTTGGTGCCAGGTTCGGTCTGAGACAGGGAAATACCCCAAGTGTTCCAGGCACCCACGGTGTTGTTGGTCGAAAGCCGCCAGCGCAGAGGTATGAGCCCCCGGAGGAGTGGTTCGCATGCTGTGCATCATTTTTGTGAAGGAAACGCAATGGCGAAGAAGATGGAGCCCAACCTGAGGGTCCGGCAGCGCAGCCACAGCTTCCAAGCATTTGGCCGCCTTCTCCACCCGCTCCGTTTGAGTGAAAGTGTTGCAATGATCAAAGTCGCCGACAGGGGAGCCCAAGAGGTCAAACACGCCAGGCCGCCTGACTTGAAACGAAGGCGGGAAAGCCGAGAGGTCAGCCTGCGGTGCCAAAGGCACCAGCTCGCACTTGGAAGGTTCAAGTTACAGACCGGCCGCTGCGGCTTCTTGTTGAAGGACCCTGAAGGCAGCAGCTACTGCGTCGGCTCGGCCGGCGAGCACTGCATCATCCAAACAAAGCTCCACGGAGCACTGTGTAGTCTTCCGCAACGCTGGCTGCAAGGCCGCAGAAAACAACAAGGGCCCAAGGGGGTCACCTTGTTGTATGCCCCGGCTTGACGGAATGGTGTGGTTGCCAAATCTGAGGACGGAGGCGGAGTTATAACACCAATCCACCCAGCAGGCCAGCCCCGGGAAAGCCGCCCTGGTTTCGGAAAGCAAAGCAAAGCGGTCCACACTGTTGAACGTATTCTGGAAGTCCATTTTTAGAAGCACTTTGTCTGCTGCCCCGGCGTTGCGTTCGGCCCATTGCCGAGCGGTGTGAACAGCTGCCTCGAGGGTCCCCATTTTATGCCATTTTATATCCACGGCCTGACTCAAAAATATCCTGGTACAACTTTCACCATTCATGTCATTTTCACGTTTTTTGGATTTTTATGTTTTTCAGACATATTCAGTGTTGGATTTTTGTGCATTTTTTTATTTACGAAAACGGAATAAAAAAGGAAATTGGCACGGAACCTACACAGGCCAAATAAACGTTGGGCTTACAAGCCACTTCCCCTCCCCCCTTTCAATTTTCGGACCTTTTCGCATTCAAAATTGGCAGAAATACTATCATATATATGTTCCATTCTTGGGTGGGATTACATTGGCACTATATGTGTGTGTCAGCTAAATTTCTGATTGATGTTTTGCACAAATCACTTCAAACAACCCCCCCATTAAAATAAAGTAATGTTGGTTCCTAATTAGTGTAAACCCCCCCCCCCCCCCCCCTCCCCCTAAACAATATTTAATTTTTTTTTTAAGTGGAAAATCAAATATTTTCTTCCCAAAAAAAATACATATTCTTAATTAAGTAAGGATTTCAATTGGCTACAATTAAAATCTAATTAAAATTGTTTTTTTGCCGATAAAGTTCTGGTATTTGTATTACTTGTATTTACTTGTAGTGTTTGTAGTACTTGTAGTATTTGTAATATTTGTAGTAATTAAAGTATTTGTAGTACTTGTGGTACTTGTAGTACTTGTAGTACTTGTAGTGCTTGTAGTACTTATAGTACTTGTAGTACTTGTAGTACTTGTAGTACTTGTAGTGCTTGCAGTACTTGTAGTGCTTGTAGTACTTGTAGTACTTGTAGTACTTGTAGTGCTTGTAGTGCTTGTAGTACTTGTCGTACTTGTCGTACTTGTAGTACTTGTAGTACTTGTAGTGCTTGCAGTACTTGCAGTACTTGTAGTACTTGTAGTACTTGTAGTACTTGTAGTACTTGTAGTGCTTGTAGTACTTGTAGTACTTGTAGTAATTGTAGTGCTTGTAGTACTTGTAGTACTTGTTGTACTTGTAGTACTTGTAGTACTTGTTGTACTTGTAGTACTTGTTGTACCTTTAGTAGTCGTAGTATTTAAAGCAATTGTAGTAGTTCCAGGAAAAGGCTTGCTTCTCTCCTGGGCTTCCAGGAGCTGCTCTGGCACAGCTTGCTGCAATAGTGAACCCAGCAAACAAACCTACTAAAGTGAAATGGAGCCTCTCCTGGTCCAGGGCCTTGGAAAATTGTGGAAAAGCTGTTCGTTAATAAGGGTTTAATAAGGGATTGGCTCCTTTGGGAAAGGCTTGGAGTTTGAATTTGGTAATTGCTTTTGGAAAAGGCTTGCTTCTCTTCTGGGCTTCCAGGAGCTGCTCTGGCACAGCTTGCTGCAATAGTGAACCCAGCAAACAAACCTACTAAAGTGAAATGGAGCCTCTCCTGGTCCAGGGCCTTGGAAAATTGTGGAAAAGCTGTTCTTTAATAAGGGTTTAATAAAGGATAGGTTCTTTTGGGAAAGGCTTGGAGTTTGAATTTGGCAATTTTGGAAAAGGCTTGCTTCCCTTCTGGGCTTCCAAGGGCTGCTCTGGCACAGCTTGCTGCAATAGTGAACCCAGCAAACAAACCTACTAAAGTGAAATGGAGCCTCTCCTGGCCCAGGGCCTTGGAAAATTGTGGAAAAGCTGTTCGTTAATAAGGGTTTAATAAGGGATTGGCTCCTTTGGGAAAGGCTTGGAGTTTGAATTTGGCAATTGCTTTTGGAAAAGGCTTGCTTCCCTTCTGGGCTTCCAGGGGCTGCTCTGGCACAGCTTGCTGCAATAGTGAACCCAGCAAACAAACCTACTAAAGTGAAATGGAGCCTCTCCTGGTCCAGGGCCTTGGAAAATTGTGGAAAAGCTGTTCTTTAATACGGGTTTAATAAGGGATTGGCTCCTTTGGGAAAGGCTTGGAGTTTGAATTTGGCAATTGCTTTTGGAAAAGGCTTGCTTCTCTTCTGGGCTTCCAGGAGCTGCTCTGGCACAGCTTGCTGCAATAGTGAACCCAGCAAACAAACCTACTAAAGTGAAATGGAGCCTCTCCTGGTCCAGGGCCTTGGAAAATTGTGGAAAAGCTGTTCTTTAATAATGGTTTAATAAGGGATTGGCTCCTTTGGGAAAGGCTTGGAGTTTGAATTTGGCAATTGCCTTTGGAAAAGGCTTGCTTCCCTTCTGGGCTTCCAGGGGCTGCTCTGGCACAGCTTGCTGCAATAGTGAACCCAGCAAACAAACCTACTCAGATAGAGATGCATTTACAGGCTCAGATAGAGAGCTGAGCAAAAACTTGACTGAGCTTCAGCGTTTTGGAGAAAAAAGTTTGCTTCTCAGCAATTACAGGCTGTTTTTTTCCAAAAAAAAGGCTCTCCCAATTTTTTTTGCCACAGAAGCGAACCTTCCAAACAATACATGAGTTTCAGAATAATTTGGAGAAAATTTGCCACAATAGCGAACCTAGCTACTAATCAGGAGCTAACATTATGAGCAGGTAAGCCATAGACATCCATCAGCCAATTATAGACGAGGAACCGGGCCTGGCAGACAAGTTTTTCTCATGAAAGCGCTTTTCTTTTTAGACGACAGCCGATAGCCTTGATTCCAGTTTCCCTTTCGGAAGCTGTTTCCAACTGTCAGGTCGGCGCATGATACGTACGTGTTCCATGGACAAATATTTTAATAATCAAGGTGTATAGTATTTGGCTAAAAAAGCATGTACATTAATATAATATATACATATATTGTCGGCAGATGAAATGACCTTCTGTTCAACACTCATTTTCTACACCAGCTTCCTTGGCAAAAATATTCACGCAGCGCATTCTACACAAACCAAGGATGGAATTCTGGCAATTCAGTTGATCAGGAACCTTAAGGAAAGTACACTACTGCGGGACGCGAAACTGTAAATACCAAAACGTTGAGTCAAAGGTTGGATCATTAAAATCTACTGTAATAATACTAACTTTTTGGGCATGGGGTTCCTGATTTTCTGGGCAATTTTTGAACCAAGTACGTGATAGATTCCATTCTGTGGACATGATATGACAGATGTGCATAGAGGGCGAGCTGAAAATGTCATTCATTAATCATTAATGAGGGGGTTCCTACTGCAGTTTTTCTCCTTGGGCAAGCCCCCCAATTTTGGAAAATGTTACTTACCGTTTTTTTCTTGAGCTCTTGGAAACTATATTTGTGCGTTCCGGAAAATTAATTTCATTGTTCAACTAGATGACTGCTTTAATCCGTTGTGTGGCCTGGGCCCGAGAAGTCCCCCAACTCTCTAGGATTGCTTGCCTTTCATGTGCATGTTTTTTTTGGTTTGTGTGTGTGTGTTTTTGTGGTTCCATGATCTTCTTGCAAAAATAGTTTAAGACCGGTTGCCTTCATGTGCTTGATGGATCTCAGTCCCTGGCAATCCCCGAGATTGTGGCCATTGTTTTTTCCCCTGCGCGACATACTCCTTATTTGTTTGTGATTGCACCCCAGAAAACATTCATAAATATTCATAACGTATAGTATATATCCTCCAGCACATGACTGCATTCCCACTTTTTGTTTTGGTGGGGACAGGTGTATCTACCAAACCCTTTTTCACGGGATTTGGTCCCACGGTATACCCAATTATCTGGCAACGAAAACGTTTGAAAACCATGTTCACTGTATTGAACTGGTTCCACAAGCTTGAAAGAGGCAAGTAAACAAAGCAAAATCATCATGTCCAACACATGGAGGAATTTAATTATGGCAATTTTCTATTGTTTGCCATCATTGTTGAAATTCATGACGTTTTACAACATATTTTGGGCCTGTCGGTAGCTGTATTGCCGTCTCATCATGACCCCAATCGAAAATTGTAATCATTTTGGTTTATTCAAAAAGTTGATGTGCCAGATTCATGCTGGATTTCCTCATTTTGGGAGAGATTGCCCAACCGGAACATCCGATTCTGCTTGCACCCTTTTTATCTGCAGCCGCTTGCGTTACACGATCAAATCATGTACGTCGTAGGACATAGACATCCTGGTTCTTTTCATTTCGCCCCGGACCGAAATACAAGAGCGTCCAGCGCCTGTCAACATTGAGCAGCCGGGCAGCAAGCCATTCTGTAGTCATGGCTGCAAATCCCCATTTGGTCCCTTGAGCGCCGTCTGACAGGTGCCAGTCACCTTTGGCACCGAACATTGGAAAATAGAAGAAACCGGTCAAATACAAGGCTGCCAGCATTTCTTCACGGTGGCTTTTTTGAACTGCGCCGTCCAAACTACCATAATTGATCGATTGGAAGCCGTGCGTGGAGAACCACAGGATGCCTCCGGGTTTCAAAATCCGGTGCATTTCATGAAACCAGGCCAGAGCAGATTCTTCGCTGTAGTGGCTCCAAATCGAGATGGCATACACCCCGTCCAGCTGGCCACTGCTGAACCCAGACATAGGTGGATCCTGGCACGCATTGCAACTAGGCAACGACAGTGTGGCCCAAAGGGAAACCAGAATACAAACCTTTAGCTCTTTTCCTTGATAGCGAAGCGCCTGTAGATTCACATATCATCCACCTGTACATGCATGCCATGACACATGCAAAAGTTGACAGTTTTGTGTCACATGTCTGGCATACCACACTTCGTACCATGCTTTGCAACGGGTGTGAACATTGGTAAAAATCTATTCAACAGAAACATGATCCCTCCAAAGAGAAGTCACACATGCAAGGGGTTCCTTGGAAAAGAAAATATGTCTAATGGAAAGTGATGGTGTGATGTTTGATGACGGTGATGATGACGGTGATGGTGATGATGACGGTGATGATGACGGTAATGGTGATGATGACGGTGATGATGACGATGATGATGATGATGAGGATGAGGATGATGAGGATGATGAGGAGGAGGAGGATATGTATGCAATATTTTTGTGGTTTACCGATTTGTTTTCAATCTCTCAATCCATTTTCAAATCTCAGTTCATCTAGCGGCAACGGTGTGAACAGCTGGCAAACTGCATGACATGAAAAACCCTGCATGGAAAATGCTGGCAGTTGACTCAACATGAAGGCAGCAATAGTTTTAAAAGCGCAGCATCTGTCTAACAACATCAGGTGGTTTATACACACACACACATGCCTTTACACAGACATGAATTTACACATAGATTCTTTTACACACTGAAGTTTTCACACACTGAGGCCTTACACACAGAAGTTTTTACACGCCCAGGTGATTTTACAGGCACATGCCTTCACACTCAAATTACGACGCGCAAAAAACTTATACACGCAAACATTCTTACAGACAGGTGTTTTTACACACGAATGCCTTTCAACGCAAACGCTTTTACGCACCCTTGCCTTGACACACAGACGCTTTGACACGCAAATGTTTTTTGGCCCCTGGCATTTTGAGACACAATATCATAGAGGGTTCTTACACACCAAGGTTTTTACACACACTAAACAAGAACAAGATCACCGAAGTGATCTGTTGGGAACTGAATCCCATAAAACCCTAACCAAACCAAATTTCCGAGCCTAAGTAAAATAACGGAGGTAAATTCAGATAACCATCGATCAAGGATATCAGGATATCCGTACACGATCTTGTCCCGAAAATAGTCCAAATCGGTCAGTAATCCATAACACATCAGGAAGATCAGAATGCGACAACAGCTGCCACACCCTTGCGCCCACTCCGTCCGTACTGTCCACGCACCCTCTCGTGCCAACCTGGCCTTTCTCCCAACCCGTTTCTTTTCATTGCTTTCCCTCCACTCCCATGCATCCCGTCCGCGCACCGTTTCCGCATCCAGGTTTGCTCATGCCCACCGGGCCCTTCTCTCCAACATTTCCGTCCACCCCCTGGCATCCACACCGTCCGCAGAACTGTCGGCGCAATGCTGCTCGCTCCCCACGTGTTTTACAGACTAAACGAGAACCCAAGCGCCGAAGATGCTTGTGGGAACAACACATATTTGGCGTGGCTCTGCCGGCCAAACCGAATAATTAATGACGGAGCATTCTACATGTCGGCTTTGTTTCTTGAAATTCCGTCTTGTTGAAAATTCAATGCTTGAAAAATCCAAGAAGAAAGACAGCAACGGAAAATACAATGACAACTAGCAGCCACTAGCCTGTTCGCTCTGGTGAAAATGGACATTCTGGATGTTGCTCTTCCCCCAGTCAATGGAATCAAGAATGGGATCACTGCAATGCCATTCAGCTTGTGGGAATGCAGAGGCCAGCACTCGCGTTACACGACCATGAGATCCTCCAAAGTCAAGCCAGGAACCATGATGTGGAATGACGCCTGCTAGCCACAAGCCTTCCAGTACCATGTCTGCATCTCGCAACGTTCGTCGAAAATATGGCTCTGCACCCATTGGAATTACATGAATATTGCTGGGAATACTCAATAAAGGAAGGCTCAAATCTGCCAGCTTCTTCTCTTCATACAGATCGTTGAGTCTATCCCGCATTACTTCCAAGCCTTGCTCTCCAACAGGTCCGTGCTGAAAATTTGATCCGCCAGTGTCTAGAGCTTTTTGGTCCCCTTGCTTTCTCAAAAACAAATGATACGTGGCAGTAGTTTTCAAAAACTCTTCGTCCCGCACCTGGGTTGCCACGGACCACGCGCACAACAGCGGCAACTGGCAACCGGGCGCCTTCATTGCCCGGTCCAATACCGCTGGGTTTGCTCCCAATGACACAGACACGGGCGTGAAGCCTTCAAAGTGGAAAGGCTCCTGCGATTTGCAAACGGTTCATGCTTGACTGCTTGACTTTGGGATCGTGTGCGTTCATGGAGCATCCTATGGAATGCAACATCTCGGGTCGGATTCAAAGAGATCAGTCAACCTACCTCCCAGTGTCAAAAAGGAGAAACAAGGAGAAACCAGTTTGCATCTGCCCATCCAACTTGGGGCCTGGGGTTAAGGAACAAAAGCTAGCAGGGCGGGCACAACAAGGAACACGAGGGGAGGAGGCACAGCAGAATGAAGATGATATGATGATGTCATATCATGGTCATGAACAACACATTGCTACTAAGGATAATATCTCGGGCATTTCCCGTGAAGTCACATGATTGCCAATACCTTGCTAAAGCAAAACGGGCTTTAGCTAGTAGAAGCTATAGTCACTATAGGTTTCCTGATATGGAAGAAACGAGGGATTGTTTCGAACAGTGCCCATCCTCTTACAAGCAGTGCCCCGGGAAAGGCGAGGGCGGAGGTTTCAAGAGGTAAGGACCCACAGGGCAAAAGAAAGGATGTGCCCACGGACTCTCCGTCGAGAAGCGTGTGTTGAGACAATTTCTTTTGTCACCCCTTTCTCTTGTCAAAGGAAGTTGGGAAGCAATCTTCCAAGTTGTGGACGGCTAGAATAGCAATAACATGCAATAACAATACGTACATGACAATACATACAAAACAATACAAGCATAACAATACACTTTACTCTTCTATACTATAGTCTTCTGTTCTCTGCTTCCTCTTCTCGACTCTTCTTTTCTGTTCCTGCTCTTCTCTACGCTTCTCTTCTTAAAATCTCCGGATACAGAAGTTTCTGGTCTAGACTTGCTTTGGCCATTTCAGCAAAAATAAATGCGCACAAACTCGCAAGTCACAACAGAGAGACTTGAGCGAGCAACAGCGTCTGAAAAAGAAGGCTGAGAGAAAATTCCAAGTGACTGCAAAGGCAAAAATGGCAAAATATCAAATGCATCAAGATCCAGCTGGGAAGGGGGTCAGAAGGGGGTCAAGCAAAAAAAATGTTCAAAAGCCAGTAGACTCAGTAGACGTCAGCGCTCTGAAGCACACCAAGCCGTGACGACTTGGAGACATTCAAAACAGCATGAACTCTGAACATTCCTAACATTTCCTAACCAACAGTATTGGGGGTTCTACGCGCCCTGTTGCAATCTGCAAAAATTGAATCTCCTGGGTCTTCAAAGGTAAAGACGAAGTCGTCAGCATGGGAGGGCGTGCAGTGTCGCAATCAAGAATTTGCTTGGAGAACATGAACTTGAAGGTTATGAGGACAAAAATGCCAATGCCAAGCACACGAAATGTGCGCAGCAAGTTCGCTCCAAACGACATCGACATCCGGGGGGTGACGCTTTAATGCTATTTTACTTCACTAGTCATCGCGGCGAAAACACTTGAGCCGGACACCACATCTCCGTAGTTCACCACAGCACACCACGATTGTGGCAACAACTGAATTGTATTGACGCGAAATGATTTCGCTGATACAACAACTGAAATGGAGAAAGCAAGCGGAACTTGGGCAAGAGACGGTTGTCTCATGTTTTCTCTACCTCTTTACCATTACCAAAAAACCTGATAGAATTTGATAGCAGCTTCGACAAGCCCGAATTCATCATCCATTAGGAGAGAAGCCCTCGAGCGAAGCGCTCGACTCCAAACCCTCTCTGCACTCCAGACCCTACACTCCATGCTCCACACTCCAGAACCTCCACGCTTTGGACTCAACTCTACACTCTACACTCCACACTCCGCGCTGCACATTCTAAACTTGCAAAACTCCATGCTTTAGACTTCACTTTACACAAAAAGCTCGACACCCTTGCACCCATCACTCTCCACTCCACGCTCCACACTCCGCACTCTACACCTCACACTGCCACACAAGCACAGCATTCCACATATTCTGAAGCCTCCAGCAAGGGCACGTTTTGAAGTTGCGCCATAAGATCTATGACTATGATTCTGCCTCGCAACACGTTCGCTGATTCTCACCTAGCGCCATGCCTGCCACGTGCTGCTTGAGGCGCGGAATCTGCGAGCCGATTAAAAACCCGCATCACTTTCACGTCCGATTCTTACCAAGCGCTACACCTGCCAGACAAATATACACAAATCACATCTTTGCCAGCCTCCTTCAAAGGACACGAACACGCAGGCCATGCAAAAACAACATCCACATCTTCCCAAATCCTTCATTTGCAGCTTTCGCTATAGGCACAAGGTTTGCGACCTGATTTTGAAGCACTTGCTTGGCAAGCCCCAGATGAAGCCTACAGACCCAGCCACATGGTTCACATCCTGTGGGGAGTGGCCTTTATTGCCCCCTGAGGTCGCGCAGCCCTTGGGTAGAGGCACCAACCCGATTTGAACACGTTCAGGTCTGATTCTCAACCCTCCCTTGCAAAATCAAACTGCACACCTCCAGAACAGCACCTGTCACTGTATTCCGTTAAACGCAGAGAACCCATTTCAAAAGCAACTGCTCTGCTAAACATGATTTTCGGACTCCGCACGCTCAGAACATCATGCACTTTGTGCATGCTACGTGGCCATCTTTGAAGTTTATCAACACAGAAGGCCGTCGAACAATGTTTGGCCGAGGCGCTGGGATTTTGAAGCTTGCCCAACTGTGATTTCTGGATTTCAACACTGTGACTTTGCCGATCCAATCCAAGCACATAAAACATATTAAAACATGATGCAACCCTTCATATGTACGACAAGTAGTGGCAATGCTCTTCGTGACATTAGTTGCGCTGCTAGGGCCGTTCCAAGCCCTGAAGCTTCGACAAGCTGTTTTCGGATGCAAAGAGCGCTCGGCCCACGGAGTCTTGATAAGCCAGCCGCGCCTTGGCTCAAACATGTTGCAAAGACATTCACGATAGACAAAAATGAGACAGAATGAGAAACCACATTCAAGTGACACGCATGTTCAACCAATTTACATTGCGTTAATCCATCGCCGTTGGATAAGGTGCCCGAGTGCTACACAAATTCTCGCCTAAAGTAAATGCCTCTGTGCTACAGCAGTAGCTCCTTGAATTCCTGCCTTTCTGAGCTGCATTCTTCCCCAAACAATATTGTCACATAAGGGGATTCTTCATTAAGGTTGGGTGGATCGAAGGTGGACGGATTCTCCTGTTTTGGTGACCCTCACAGCACAAAATTAATGCCTTGATCAAACATTTTTGAAAGATGTCTCGCACGAGAACGGGACCAGGAAACCTCTACTGCAGAGGTGCCTTCTACCCTGCGTGCCCTGTCCGTTTTTGGAAGCAAGTGCATTCTTAGACCGCGGTACGCGGCGCACATGGCAGCAGCGTGGGTCACAAAGGGAGTTGACGCCGTCGTTTTTTGTTCACAATGTGTGTGGGCGGTTTTTTGAAAAGTTGAAGCCGGCCGTGTTGTGAGCCAGAAGTCGTTTTTGGATTCGGTATACCTGGTCGTTTCAAGCTACCGTGTTTTATTGTGGATGTTAGGTTCAGGTCTTGTTGCTTTGGAAATTCACAATTTTCACATAGTCTTGTTGAGAAAGATGTTGTAAATGTAGGTTTGGAATTATGTTAATGTCTTTTGACACGCCTGGCTCTGAGGATGCAATATTTGCGCGTTGCCCTGTGTCTCACCTACGTCTTGTTGCGTCGCGCGTCGTTTCCTTTTGCCCTACTTTCCTCCAAAGGCTTCGGGTGCTTTGGACTGTGTCCTCGCGTGTCCTGGGATTCGCTTAAGGATTGTCGACACTTTTGGAGCCCGAGGCCCAAGATCTCTTTCGTCTTGTCTTGTCTTCACACGACCCAGGGGTGAAGTAGAGTCCCACGCTGCCAATGCTCTGAAGGGCCAATTGGAACTCAAAAGATTGACGGCATGTGGAAAGGCCTCAAACCATATTTGACTGCACCGGAAAAAAACAAAGCCTTGAATCTGAGGCTGCTTACATGTATTCAGTGCACTCATTTATGTTCCAAAATAAATCGGCAAATTTGTGGAAAGGCACAGGTCAACTCTGCACAGCCAGCAAATGAATAAAATAATTGGAACAATCGTGGTTTTGTGCGCGGCCTCCAAAACATTGGGCAAACGTGAGACAAAATGCATACAGACCTCCCGAATCCACAAATTCAATCAAATTCACATGAAATGAACTTGATGAAGGATTTGATCAAAAATGGGCTTAAAACCTGAGTCTTGCACAGATTGCAGAGTTGCAACCCCTAAAACAGGCACAATACTCCAGAGACCTGGATAAAAAGTGCAACACCCAGGGCTTTCTCACATCTTCAACTTTCCTTTTTAGTGGCGCCCGCAGTATGTGGCGATTTTCTGTGACATTCACTCCGAAATCTTCTCCGCCCTTTGCGTGTGTCGAGCCGCTCTCGTTGTAGCGAAGTGGTCACTTTGATATCCCTTGCACAACGGCTCTACACTTTGCGCGCGTCGGAGCACGCATGTGGTACCTCTCGCCCAACCCTCACCTGCGCGCGTCGGATCGCTCTCGTAGTGCCGCGAAACCCTCCCTGAGTTAATTCAAGATCTGACACCTCAGAGTTTTAGGTCCTTCTATGGCCACCTTGCGTTCTCTTAGAGTTCGTGTGAATACCTTGAAGAGGTCCTGATGAGAAGATCTTGCGGAGATCCTGAAGATGGAAGGTCCTTCTAGAAAGATTCTCTTCGAGGTCCTTGTATGAAGATCTTGAAGAAATTGCGTTAGTCTGTTAGAGGCGCTTGTAACATCTTGTAACAGGTTCTCGTGAAAGTTTGAAGCATCTTGAAACAACCTGCCTCTAGCGCTAGAAGGCCCTCCTATGTCAATGTGGGATTCTGAGGCCCCAGGATGATCCAGAATCCAGACCTTCTTGCCAGAAAGGTGTGATGAAAGGTGTGATGAAAAGTTTGTCAATGTTTGTCAATGTTTGTCACATTTTCTCCACTCTGTTGGGCCTTTTGCCGAGATAATTGCAGATATAATTGCAAATGATTTGAAACGACATCTTGAGGCGAGGCGCAAACACATTGAAAGGTTTATTGCTTGTGGTCAACTTTGCCGACCCATCCTTGGCAGAATTCGAAAAGGCTGGGGACAGGATAAACCCGGGATGGAAAACTAATATTCCAGCCACAAACAAATTAAATGTTAGCACATGTTAGCACTGTATGCTCCTCCACCGGCCAGCCATTGAATCACGTTCTAAGATGACCTGATCAGGACCCGGCCTTCAAGAAACCTTGCCTTTCCAATTGATCCCTGAGAGCGCGTGGCCCTCCCAATGTCCAGAAATTCTGCCGGGCGCGTCCTCGAGTCAAGTTGAACATGGCTACAGCGCAAGGATTGTGGAACAAAATGCATAAAAACAAAGATTCGCCGAGCCGCGGTATGTTTCAACAGTGTTGATCACAGGGCACACTTTGACGCTTGCAACCTTGAGGTCGATAGTGTCCTCAGCAATCGGAAGGAATGAAATTCAACAAAGCTAAACCTGTTCTTTTTCCCGAGAGCGCCTGAACGTAGGGTTCTTCTAAAAAGGAACTGAGATCTTACATCTTGACATCTTACGTCTTCACATCTTATATCTTCAGATCTTATGTCTGCTGATCTTCCGTCTGCTGATCTTACGGCTGCTGATCTTACGGCTGCAGATTTTACATCTTCACTTCTTAGGTCTGCATCTTCAGATCTTGCGCACTCTCTCTCTCTCTCCCTCTCTCTGTTTCCTCTCTTCTTCCAATTTCTATTCTCTCTTAAAGCGCGCAGTGGCCACCAGCGATCACGAAAATGCGACAGTTGGGCACCAAATGCGGTTCGGTCGTCAAAAACTGTGGGAAAATTGCGCGTTTGACTGGTCGCGTGCGACCCTTACAGCACGAAATGAGGTTCGATCATCAAAAACTTGTCAAAAAACGTGATTTTGTCAGGTCCCGAAGCGGGTTCCGCAGCACAATACGACATTTTGATAGTAGAAAACCGATGAAAATGTGGAAAATGTGATTCTGCTGCGGCAAGACTGTGCAGGCGTTTGTATGTAAAGACGTCTTTGTGTAAAAGCGTCTGTGTGTGAAAACGTCTTTGTGTGTAAAAACGTCTGTGTGTAAAAACATCTGTGTGCAAAAGCGGATGTGTGTGAAAGTGTCTGTGTGTAAAAGCGTCTGTTTGTACAAGTTACAAGTCGCGTGTGTGAAAGTGCGCGCATGCGTGCGCGTGGGTGCGCGTGAGTGCGGGTGGGTGGGCGTGGGTGTGCGTGGGTGCCTGTGGGTGCGTGTGGGTGCTTGTGGGTGCGGGTGTGGGTGTGGGTGTGGCTGGGTGCGGGTGTGGGTGAGGGTGTGGGTGTGGGTGAGGGTGT